CATAGCATTTGAACAGTAATTTTAGCTTCAGGAAAAGCCAGGAAGCCAAATCTGGACTACAGTGGATGCTGACAGACATAAGTGAATCAAAAGTTTGCTTAATAAAAATTATTTTTAAATTAAGAAAAATAAACAAAAAATGTAATTGCTTAGCCATTTGGATACAATTATCACACAGTACACAAGCTTACTCAATAGCATCTCGCTACTAACTAACCTTATATCGTAATGATGAGGACACACTAAGATACCTGCTTATTTGTTCTGTATTACATCGACTGCACAACCAGTCCTCAAGATAATCAAAATGGCTGGATACATTCCAAACAGATCATATATTGAGAGAAAATGAATACAAAAGTAACATTTTACAAAACAATACATTAAATTCATTTGTTGCTCACTGTAACAAGACTGACCACAATTTTGGCATAGAAAATGCTACTCTGATAAAAAAAAAAAACAATTCACTAAGACAAAAATGTTTAGAGAGTGCCTTGATAGCAAAGTCATCTACAGTAAATTTCCACCCCAGCTCTTACAATATTTCACCATTCCTGGCAGATTTATTATCACAGTATGGGATATCTAATAACAAAAATGATGAAAACAAGAGAAAAAGAAAAAAAAAATCTAAATGAAACCAATACCTTTATCCACTGTGCCATGTGCCCTTAACGACATCTGTGTATGAATTTCTGGGACTTATAAACTTAATGTCTTCAGCAATCATTTTTACCAGTGCTCCTTAAGGACACATGGCACAGTGGATAAAGGTGTTTGTTAGATCCAGTGTCAGGACCCAGAGTTGTGAGTTCAATACCTGGTTAAGGCAATGGAGAACTTGGAATGTCGAACTGAACCCTTTATTTCACTCACTGGGGTAGACTGCTCTAGTTCCACATGCCATATCTAATGGATGCCAGTTATTAGTTATCTTCTGTTAATTCCCCTTTCCAAGTTCTCCACTGCCTTAACCAGGTATTGAACTCACACTCTTTGGGTCCTGTCACTGGACCTAACTAACGCCTTTATCCACTGTGGATCCACTGTGCCATGTGTCTTCAATGACACATGGCACAGTGGATAAAGGCATTAATTTGATTCAGTGACAGGACCCAAATAGTGTGAGATCAATACCTGGTTAAGGAAGTGGAGAACTTGGAGAAGGGAATTAACAGGAGATAACTGACATCCATTAGACATGATATGTGGAACTAGAACAGTCTACCCCAGCAAGTGAAATAAAGGGTTCAGTTCAACATTCCAACCACCTGAAGAAGGTCTGAGCATACAATTGCCAAAATGTGATAAATATGGCAACAAAGATAAGGACAATAGTCCAGATAATGTAAATTGCATGCATAATACCTCATCTCAGAAATATAAACAGATACCAGCTAAATTTTATATATAAAAAAAATAAACTAAAATTAAAAATTCCCTGTAGTTTTTATTTGTGTGCATGTGTAGTAAAACCAATATAATTTTAGCCTGAACACATCCTAAAGAACAAAACATCACACAAAAACTTTTCCACCTTGTCATACATTTTCCCCCAATATTATTTGATATATAAAAATGTACATATCATTACCATATATAATTAAAAAAAAGTTATTGGTCAGAGTTGAAATAGACCAGGAAACAGTAGTATTAAAAAGTGCTCAATACACGCATAACTGAGAAATTTTCAGTTTAACAATGGCAAGAAATTTATATCATGAGAAAGCAGATGATTTCTATAAACAGCTGTGTGAATGGTAATGGATGCGTGGCTACAAATCTGTATCAGATTGTTTCCAGAGTGAAGACAGCCTAGTCATCCAACCTTTGCTGTTGCTTAACTTGTTGCTAAGACATGACACCACAAACTATGGATTGAGGAAGACAGATTTGCTCATATACCTGAGCATGAAAAATACATTCCACACAAGACAATCCACATATCAGCTCACGTCAAATGGCCCTAGCATGTCGTACATCTCATAGTACAGCATAAAGGGGAGTTCAAGAGCATCACCTGTATTGCAATGCTGATCACCCACCAAGGGAGATCTTTTGCTGATGGCATGTTGCAAAAACTGCCAATCTATTGTTTGTCTCTTCAGTCTTGTTTAAGGATGAGGCAATATTTGGAAGAGATGGAATAACAAATTTACACAAACAACATTTGTGGGTAGATCAGAATCCCCATGGTACATTTCAGGCTAGACACCAGTATCAGTTTATGATTAATGTGTGGGTTGAAATTGTAGGTGACTGTCGAGTAGGCCCATATGTTCTCCCAGCATGTCTTGTAGGAGCTGTCTACAAGGACTTTATTTTGAACATATTTGGAAAGAGGGTCTGGAAAATTTGATACTCACAGAAGATATTGAAGGCAAGAGGAATAAAGGAGAAACAACAACCTACCTAGCAACCTTGAGTAAATGGATGGCAGATCAAGGTTTAGGAAAGATAACAAAAAGACAAAGATGCCTTCCAAAACCTAAACACAGTATCAAGAAACAAAAATTTCATTAGAAACAAGTAAAAGAATGCACAACCATCATTGCCAATCTGACCCTGAACTATCATCAATCTGGATGAATGAAAGTACTCTTTGGGAAGCACCATGCCTTGAAAGGCTTCAAATTCACACCCAACCAAGTTGAACTTGTATATACAATCCATTGTAAGTTCCACTTGAGCAGCTTCTTCCCATGAACCACTGCCCTGTGGAACCATCTCCCAACTGGATGTTTCTCCAATCACTACAAGTTTAACCATGGATGAAACTTAGTTAAATTTATGTACCTGCTTGTTTTTAACATTTCCAATTATTTCACACCTTGACTTGTCTCTTTTTTTAGATAACCATGACTCCTGTTTTCTTAGAATTAATGGTTAGTCCTTTTTTCTTGCTATTTTTTCCTACAGTTCTTTCAGTTTTCTTTTTGAGTCTACAATCAACATAGAAATATTTCATTAAAAACAAAGAAAAGAGTACTGAACTGTTACATAATATCACTCCTCACAAGTGGCAGTGAATGCTGGACAATCCCCTCATAAATGAAGAAGAGACTTGACACAGCAGAAATGTGGTTCTACAGAAAGATGCTGAGAATATCATGGACCAAACATGCAAGCAAAGATGAAGGTTTTGAAAATGGAAACAAAAAGGACACTTATGCTTAACATCAAGAAGAGATAATTGAAATTTCTTGCAAACAATGAGGAAAGAGGGCCTGGAAAATTGGATACTCACAGGAGATATCGAAGGCAAGAGGAATAAAGGAGAAACAACACAACCTACCTAGCAACCTTGAGTAAGTGGATGGCAGATCAAGGTTTAGGATAGATAACAAAAAGACAAAATTTATTAAGAGCTACAAAGGGCAGGAAAGTTTAGAGAGCCATGATCGCCAATGCCATAAAGGGACACAGCACATAGAAGATCAACACTATGCCATCTGCATATATCACTTAGATGTGTACTTTCATCAATTGCCAATACTATTCACCCAGACTTAAAATATTGCTGCCACATATGGTCTGGTGCTCCTGCTATATATTTTTGTTCTTGATAAAATCCAAAGAAGAATCAGCAATATTATTGGTTCTGACCTGGCATGTCAGCTTCAGTTACTTTTCCACTTTTGTAACATAGCTTCCCTGTACCTTTTCTCTAAATATTTTCATGGTAATTTGTTCAGAAGAACTCTTCACTGTGGTACCTAGACTTTATGAATTTAAGAGCAGTACTAGATTGGCAGCAAGGTCTCAAATTGCAGCTGAATTGGTTAGATGTAACTAAGTTCTATGTCAACAGTTTCTTTTCTTGCACTTCTCACTTGTGGAACTCTTCCAGCTCCATGATTTTCAGTCAACTTTAATCTTGAAAAAATTACATACAATATCAATCATTATCTACTGTCATCTGGATTATTCTTCTATTGTTCTCACCCCTCAGTAATATTTCTATTTTCTAATTCCTGTCACCCCTTGTGTCTTAGTGGTTTTACTGCCTTGCTTGGGGTGAAATAGATTTTAAATAAATAAAAACAAAAAGATGATTCTGAGTAAAATGGTGTAAAAAAATTAAGAAAATAGTTTGTTTTTTTTCTATTAATGGGATATATTTGCATATGTAAGTTTAAATCATAAGTGTTAAATATCTAACTAATGCTGAAAGACCCTTTCTTAGCTGAAGTTGAAACCATGACATGAGTTTTAAATCATACTATCTTAATTCTACATCTTTATGCTGCCTTAAAACTGACAAATTGTTACGTTCTAAGGAGATGATAGCTAAATCATGCATTCACAACTTGATTTTTTGCTGGGCAGGAGCTTTAACTACTTGTGACAAGCACACCTCTCATGCTTCCACTAAGACATACTCTCTACATGTTTCTTGGAATTTTTTTTTCATCCACTTAGGCTATAAGAGGTATCATGGCGAGATTCTCCTTCTTGTGTTTTTACTCAAGCAATTTATTTCATTTACTTCCAGCTTGTTAGGCCTATTGAAGCTTCACCAAAGTTCTGTCAGACATACATATAGGTTCTTGAAATGTATCAGCATCAGCTTGACTACAAGAATTGCTAGAAGTTGATGACATTCAACCACCTCAAGGGACTCTACTTCTGGTTTGAATTCATGTTTGCCCTTAAGTGGTTCCCAAGCAAAACTACACACACGTACCAGATATCATTTACCTTACAAATTTATATTTTGGGGGAATATTGTTTATTTTCTATGGCTTACCAACATTTGCATGTTATTTAAAGCCAGAAAATATTTTAAGATAGTGAGAATTTCTACTTTTTTTGTTTCTGAAACAATAGTTTAGTTGATACAAGTTTTACTAATTAACCCATAGCTGGAGGGAGAAGAGGTAGATTCATATGGATATTTTCACACAAGTGAATATAAAGAATCCAACTAGAATTGGAATTCAGCTCTTAATTAACAATTCCAAGCCATTATCGATTATAGCACCCACATATTCAAGCTAGTATTCCCAAGTAGTTACCCACCTAGGTACTGACCAGGCTAGACATTGCTTAACTTCAGTGATCATACAGGAACTGGTGTTTCAATGTGATGTGGCTGTAAGCCAATAGGGAAGGGGGCATTAAATGCATATAGTATTAGCAAAAGAAGTCTTCCAGGAACAGAGCAAATATTAAGGAAATGGAAACTGTCCCCAGGAAAAAAAAAGGAAAAAAATTATTCCTAGAATGTTATGTAATATCGAATTTCCTATATAGCAGTGGATGCTACTGGATAATCGCTTCACACATGAAAAAGAGTCTTGAAGCAAAAGAAATGGGGTCCTACTGATGAATGATAATAACATTGACAGAGAATGTGTGAAACAAAAAAAAATAAGTTGAGCAGGAACTAGAATTAGTGGCAGCAGAAATTTCTGCAACACTTACTGAAGAAAGAAAGCTTGGAGGATTTAAAGCTCCCAGGGCTAGATACTAAAGCTAAGAGAAGTAGAGAGGGGGAAGTAACCTACTTGCAGAGTAAATAGATGACAGAACAATGATCTCAAAAACCAAAAGATATTGTTAAAGGGAAAGAGGGGTTGGTAAAAAGTAATAAAATTTCAGGAATTTATAGAGAACCATGATCACCAATGTAATGAACATAATATATAAAAGAAGATAAAAAATTAGATAAAAACCATCATAATCATGTGTGTCTTTCATCCTCTCAAGTCAAATAATGTCATTGAAAGACAGCTACTAATTTGGGGGGTTACTTTGGGCAGGGGTGCAATTTTATTGGAGGAGAGAGAGGTAATAATTTTAATTAACAGATTAACCTTTTTTTTAGACCTTCCATAAGCCATGACACTGGTCAGAATCAAAATATATGAACTTGTTATCGATTTTGAAGGAGGTGCAATGCTTATAATATCGATATAGAATCAAATCAATCTCCAATTTATATATAGAGTTATTAGCCTTTTAAACTAAGTAACTTCGTTGTTATTTACAAAGTGAAGATTGATATCAGCAGATTTATTTTAATTTTTTTAAAACTTCATTTAATGAAGAATAAACGGATACGTAACTTGTGTAAGTTTTTGTTCTGTAATTGAAGACGCATATATCCATTTGTTCGTTAAAACTAAATCTTTTTTATAAACACCTACTTCAAAAAAAGAGTACGACGTACACAAAAAGAACAGAGGCCAATAACTCTGTAAAAGCCAAAGATCGATTTGATTCGATAAAGAATTTATAGGTTCTAAAAAGGATTAAAAAAATGTAATTTAATAAACAAAAATCCTTTGGTGTTCCCTCTTAATAATAAAAATTTTAACGATAAAACTTTATTATTAAGTTTGTAGCATTTTTCTTTCATCATGTATGAATATTTGAAGGTGCGTAATTATAAGAAAGCAACATATTTTCTGTTAATTCACCCAAAAATAAAGAGTTTATTTACTAATATTCAGACCAAATTCTCCCAGAGCAAAGCCCTTACATTCCGGTTGGGATGACCTTTGCGATCGCGCCAAATGTGGGCGACCCCAGTGCGGTATTTCTAAATGTGGAATCAACGTTTGCTCTCACCCCGATAAACAAGCCAAAAACATTTCTTTTTTTAAATTGTAAAAAATTCCTGGTAAATATCTCGAATATCATCCACACTTACGACATGTGAACAACTTCCTGATTTTTACTAATTTTTCATTCTGAAGGTTGGAGCTGTTGTGAGGCAAGCTAAACAAGTTTTGATTTTTAAAATTTATAATTTCAAAAGACAGCAAAAAAAAAAAAAAAAGAAACAACAACACTTTGATTTAATATTTATGATCTCTTGGGGTGAATTAATTTGTGATACGTAGCTTGTCATTATTTGGGATGAATTAAACTTAAACAGAAAAGATCCAGAAGCCCCCATCCGCTTCTAAATTGATAACAAATCCTATTTTTCGAGTGGAACTCAAATATACGATCCATCGTTAAAGAGGCAGAAAAAAAAAAAAAGGTCGGTTCCCTGTACCGCTCCAGTAAGCACCTGACTACTTGTGCTATCCTCTACCTTTACAAAAGGTAGATAGACCAGACCTAAAATAGAGTACTGTTGTGATAGTCACTAGTCCTCACTTTCCAGTCTCGATAGAGCTCCCAAAAAGCATCTCAGAGTCTTTGGGGGTAACAAATTATTTTCCACTCTTCAACCTCTCTTTCACGTGCGGGATGTGACAAGGCTCTCACTGTTCTATCGCTACTTCGATAGAAAGTGCATTCGTTGGTTCTGCTAGTTCTAACCCTCACGACCAGGATCCGTCATGCCACTGACTGTACTACCCACGTTCCTTCCGTATTCCATCGGTGATAAGTTCCACACGAACAGCTGTGAAGCACTGCCCTGTGGAACCGACACCCAAAAGGATGTTTCTCCGATCACTACACTCTTAAGAAGAGTTTAACCTGTTCAAGTTTAAGGCTAGGAACCGTTATCTTCCTCTTATGTCCGCATAAACTGCCTCCTACTGTAAACCTCTACCTCGAGTGACCCACGGGACTTGTACAGGGTGAACCACACACACAAAAAAAAAAAAATTGTCACGGCCCAAGGAAAGTCTATTGAATAAAAATTATCTCCCTATTTATTGTGAGTCGACCAGTAAATCGTGTCCCAAAATCTCGAAACAGAAAAATTCGAATTTTCTAGAGATATTAAAATTTAACATCTATTTTACTTTCCACTTAAAAAAAAAAAAAAAATGTTGGATAAATTAACTTTTAAACACATAAAAATAGAAAAATATAATCGGAATTATGCTGCATTTCCAATGGTATTTCGTTTTAAAATGCAGTGCATTTCAACTGTAAAAGAAAGATCAGAATATAAGGTTCCTCCAAAATTTGTGTCAGAAATGTAAGGAAGTAAATTTGAAACGCTAAATTTAATAATACAGTTTCGATTCTCTTCGTTGTTCTTGAAACCAGTTTGTAGTCTGTGTGTGCACGATTGTTTTTAAAAAGCGCTATTTATTTTTTCCCAATTACTGCGCTGCCGACCCGGCGCCATCAGGTAGTGATTTTCCAAGCGTAGCTTAGATGTGGCACAAGGCCGAAATTAGGGGGCGCCCAGTGAGGATCGAACTCACTACTCAGTCGTAATTGTTCTAGCGAGCCAAGCTTGCTAACCATACACCGCCTCGAGGTGCCCCCCCCCCCAACGCCATCAGATAAACGACGTACATTTCACCACCACAACTATCTGAACAGCAATGGCGTATAATTTTTCTTGGTTTTAGTTTTACGTTTGTTTTTTTTTAAAAAGAAGAGACATCGTTAGAAACAAAAAATGGCCGAAACTTTTGGAGTTAAAATGGAGAAATGGCAGAGATCTACTTCTTTTAAGAAGAACGAAAACAAATCACTCAAGAAGATAAATACTACACTTACAGGAAAACTGCATGAGCGTTGGCACCAACATTCAGACTGCGTCTGTCAATGTCCACGATTTCTATGAATATACGTTCTTTATTTTCTGTTTATCTCGTCGCAGAAGATTTTAGCACAATATTTGGAATATGGGTATCTTTAAAAAAAAAAAAAAAGAAGAAGCATTTCCGGCCTTCCTTTTATTCCCCCTCCGGTATTCAACTACTGATTCTAGCAATCCTCTTCGAATATGTTCACCAAAGTTTTACATTGTCGGCCATATGCAAAAACACGAGTGACGTAATTGGGACTCTAACTAAATTCCCGAGAGTAACCGAAGTAATTGTGCATATTGCTTTCGGATGTATCCACTTCTTCCAACTCCTTACTAACTTCGACTCTTACATTTCAGACTAACTACTGTTTATGCTCACGCTTGTTGTTTTCGTTTAACTTCCGTTTTCTTGCTTTGATCGATTACATTTTGTTTCCCCGTCAACTCTTGTTTTGCTTCTTGAAATATCAAAATATCGGACAATCTTTATAATTTTATGTTTCCTAATAGGATAATGTACTGAATTAACATTGGGGTCATTAAATAAACCTGGTTAAACGATATTGAATCAATAAATTATTTATTAACTACGTAAAACTACCAATTTCTTACATAGCCTTCAGTCAGTTATGTGTCATTCGCTTAGGCGATCATGTATCTTTCGATACATGACTGACGAGCCAGATTTTTCCCCATAGTAGGTTGTCATTTCTTTGTGCGGTAGACCAGTTGTCATCAAAGGTTATAGAACCCGGTCTGTCCTGCTATTTACCCATAGCTTGGGGGAGAAGAAAAAGATTCATACCCTTTCCCAAGGATATTATTAGCACGTAAGTGAATTGTAAATGGATTCGACTGGAATTCGAAATCGGCTCTACCGATTCCCCAATCCGAGCCGCTATCCATTACTCCACCGGTGGCCTTACGTACTTCGAATCTTTTCAGTTTTATCATGATAAAACAGTGAAACTGAAAACTTATAAATTTTTTGTTATGTGATTAATGTACACGACTATAAAAGCATTGACAATGAAAGAGATTATGTTGAAAAATCAATATTTGTTGTAAAAAAATAAATGCTTTTTTTTTCTCATTTGTTGTACCTATGTACATTTTATTTTTCATATTCACTTTTATATAGCGAGAACTGAAACAAAATGTTGCTCTAAAACAAAATCAAGAAAGAAAAAGTGGCGAATAATTAAATAACTTTTTAGTTTTTATTGTTTCAGTAAGATGTTCTGAGGAATTTTCAAACATGAAAAAGTCCAAGAGTAGAAAAAAGAAAACTTACTAGTTCAATATAAGTCTCCACTGAAAGTGTCCTTCTCTTTTTATTTCCATACTACGTTCTTTTAATACCTTACAATATTATTAGCATTGTCACTAACGCAAAATACGGCACGATTGTATGTTACCTGATACGAAGCACAATGCCTAGTCGCTTCTTACGGTATGTACCGTTAGTACCGTGGGGTGTTCAAACACAAAACAAAACTTAGCAAGTGGCACGTCAAATTTTCATTAGTTCAGTGGCATTCTCTATCAACTGCAGAGTTTGTGGGTTTTTTAGTCATAAAACTTGTGTAATTTGCAAACAGCTTTATTTGTTTTGTTTTTTTTAAATTAGAATCATTTATA